CCAGGTCACGGGAGCCACGGTGCGGGAGAGAAGCAGAGCAGAGAGAGGCAGCCGGCCGCCCGGCCTAGGCGGTGAGGAGGCCAGAAGCCCCGCAGGAGACGGCACGGCAGCTGGCCACGGGGCAGGTGTGCCATTTGTCAAGTCTGCACCAACTCACAGCTGCTCGTCCCTCCCTGCCGCCCCCACCTGCTGACGAGTGTGGCCTCGGGGGTGTCCCACCCTCTCTGGGTAGCCTTTGAGCTGTGGACCGGCAGCCGGTGACATAATCTCTCAGCCTTTGCAGGATGCTTCCAGAAGTCAGTGGACTGGAGCCTGTCCCATGAGGGTGAGGAAGCATGCTGATGCTTCCCCTCCTCGATGACCTGTGTCCCCACGGCTCACCTCCTGGGGCTGGGGAGCCCCTGCTGCCGGTGCCGGGGACCCAGGCGTGCCCACCCTGGCTGTCTGCTCTTCCAGTTCCAGCTGAGGAAATAAGAAACCGAGTTCTACTGGCTGCTCATCAGCCACTCGGATCCCCTTGGGGCAGCAGCAGAGTGTGGTGGCCAAGGATCCCCGGCTTTGGTGTCAGACCCCGCCTGGCTCAGACCTGGCAGTGTTGAACGTGCAGGTGATGTGGCACCACGGCTGGGCCAGGAGCCACAGTGTGCCCCAGTGGGGGAGAACCCACGGAGACAGCGGGCACACGCCGCCCCAGCCAACACAGGCCCCGCTCAGGTGAAAGTGGTCGGCGGGTGGCGAGTGACCTGAACGAGGCAGTGAGGAGGTGCCCACCACTTGCCTTTGCTCCCCTGTGGATGTTTTTCTGTCTTGACTGAAACTGGTGGTTTGTGCACTGCGGCAGGACACAGAAAGCAGGCACGGGCAAGGCGAGCGCTCCAGTTCCCTACACTTTTAACAGCACTGTCCTGCGGGCTGCTGCAGGGGCACGTCAGGGTGCTGTGTTGCAGTGGGCCAGGCGGTGTCCCACCCAGTGAGTTTATGGCCATAGGCCAAGCCTGGAGGGCAAAGGAGTGAGGAAGGAAACACAGGAGAGAGCAGAGCCCCAGGCAACGGGAAAGAGGGGGCAGAGAGAGGGAGAAGAGGGATCCTCCCCTCTCCAGAGTGTGGCTGTGGGCCGGAGCGGGCCGGAAAGGAGGCTGGGTCTCCTGCACCACCACCCATGCCGGGCTCTCCTGCCATTGTGGCCCAAGGGTCTTGCAGTGGCCCAAGGTGGGGGACTGGTGGCCTCCTCCCTGGGTGGCATAGTGCTCTGACATGTGGACACCGCTTTCCTTTGCACAGGGGGCCTCCCAGGAGTTCGAACAGTGACCCCAACTTCGTGGTGGTGGACGGCGTGCCCGTCATGCTCCCATCCTACGATGAGGCTGTGAGTGGCGGCTTGAGTGCCTTAGGCCCTGGGTACCTGGCCTCCGTGGGCCAGGGCTGCCCCTTACCTGTGGATGACCAGAGCCCGCCAGCATACCCCGGCTCAGGGGACATGGACACGGGTCCAGGGGAGTCAGAAACCTGTGACAGCATCTCAGGCTCTTCCGAGCTGCTCCAGAGTCTATATTCACCCCCCGTGTGCCAAGAGGGCACCCACCCTGCTTCTGACAACCCTGACACAATTGCTAGCACGGTGGGGGAGGTGGCATCCACCAGCCCAGGCATCGACATTGCAGATGGTAAGTGTTTCCCTGAGCCCCAAGCCACCCCCGCAAACACCTCTGCAAACCAACCCCTCCCTGGCTGTGTAGAGCCCCCACCCCCCAGGGCCGAATCAATCCACTTGCCACTCACTCAGCTTCAGTTGCTTCTTACTGTCTCCAATGCAGAGGCTGTGAGCAAGCCAATTATTGTACAGAATGATTTTTGTCTCACAAGGAATGAGGCTGTTAATAGAAATTTCAGGAGGCACGAAAAGACACCGAGCTATCCAAAGGAGAAAGGCTACGGTGGACAGTACTTTGTTTTTATAGCATTGTATGATCCAGCATGTTTTTCTTCTCTATCTTTTAATTAGGCAGGACCTCTGAAAGTAGAGCTTAGGAACAGGATAACACACTCATGTGAGGAGGAAGGACCGGGTGCGTGCGCTAGACCCAGCAGTGTGCCCGGGCACCCAGCCTGGAGCAGTTCTGTGTACACAGACATTACTTTTCCCAGATTGAAGGAAAAGATGCACATGCGTCTGCCTGTCACAAGGAAGGGCGAGTGTAGCTCATGGTAAAGTGGAGAAAACATATCAGGCTAATTAGGGCTTAGTTTCCTTGGGGGTTAGGGGGGACAAGCACAACTTTACAAATAAGAGCACTGATTCCAGCTTACATCCACAGGAGATGGCAGTAACAACACAGAAACAGAGGTCTGCTGGGTCCTTTTCTGCAAGCCATGGGGCCTCTCTGTGTACTTGAATCTGTAACCTTTTGGCTTGTATGACCTTTAGGGTCCACGTTTAAAATCTAACATTTTATTTTTTATGAACGGGAAATAAGCTCACAAATATTTTTCAGCAAATAGGTGTTGTTTATTTGATTGTTAACTGATATGTAGAACTTAACATTTTCCCACTGATTTTGGAAATTGTAGATATTTTAATAAGGTTTATAATTCGATTGTCACAGTGTTTTTTGGTTATAATAAGCTAATTACCATCTCTTCTTTTACAGAGATCCCTCTAATGGAAGAAGATCCCTAACTGTGCAAAATCCCAATGACTCTGCTGCTCCTTTGGGGAAAAGAACCTTGTACTTTGGAGTGAGGCCACGGAAGGGCAGTATGTGGGGCGTGGGGACCTTTTCTAACTTATGTACGTGGGGATAGGGTTCACATCACCCATCTCAGACTCTACAGTAAGGCTGACAAGCTGCAGTGGCATGGTTTCAAATGAAGCTTGAGAACCTGCTAAGGCCATGGAGAGCAAGGGCAGAGGGGCCCCCCTGTGGTCCTGGGTGGAGGGGGTAAGTGTGTCTCGTGCTGCAGGACATGGGTCAGTTGCACGCATGTCTCACGCACTCACACATGCCGTTGACTTGTGCTATGAGTACTCCCTGCGCCTCTGAAAGCATGTCACATTGTGTAAATTCGCTTCTAAAATCTGCTTCAAACTGTCTCTGGACTCCAAATTCAAAGGCCTCTTCTAGCCTCTGTGGAAAGTGAGTGTTGAGAGGCTGGCCGAGCAGCAGAGCCCCCGTGCACTTACGAGGGGTAGCCCCCAAAGGAAGGGTTCTCAGTACCATTTCGACAGTCCTCCATCTGGACAACGCTGCTCAAAGCAAGACTAAAGCAGGATGTGGCCGTTCCCATGAGGAAGGAAAGGAGACAGACTCTGCTTTCTGGAAACTTCTTCAAAAAGTAGAGCTCATGTACCCTGTGCTATCCTTTGGTGACGTATCGCCAATATTTGTATTCATGGAATGCACATGGATGCACGCATTGGATAAACCTGTGACTCTATGAATGGCCAGAATATGTTCAAATATATGTCACAGTGAAGGAAATAGCCAAGGTAGTGTTTGTTTCAGCATCTCAAGAAGACTCTGCTCAACAGTTTGTCTGAGTCACGAGCCCTTCCATTGACCGTTACCACTGTCCTCCCAAACTCAACCGTATTCTACTTTCCAAAACAGAAATTGTTTCCATAAATATATTCCACTCCAAATACAGTAGGAGGCGGGATTCATTTGCTTCTTCGTTTTGTCCCGCGCCGTGGGGAGGCTGGCCTCCCAGCCCAAAGGCAGCCGTCCCCTCCCACCTGCCATCCCTGCACTTCCACTGTGAGGGTTTCGTGGTGCCCACTGCAGGGGGTGGGGGGTTCTAAGAAATTGATTGATAGATAATGTCCTGAGTCCTGAAGTGTCTCTTCAAATACATGTTGATCTGTGGAGTTGATTCCTTTCCTCCTCTGGGTTTTAGACAAACATAGACAAACCTGTGATCCACAAAATTGCTATGCTGATGGAGCAGTGAGGGCTGGAAGCTTGATCAAGTCCTGTTTTTTCTTGACACAGACTGATTAAAAATTAAAAAGAAAATGATGGTGTGAAGCATGACTTTAACAGAGGAGTGGAGTCGGGTGGGCAGGGGAGGGTTGGTGACAGCGATCACAGGAGATGGAATAAAATGTAGGATTAAGAATGTGAGTCAACATGTGGAAAGTACCTGCCTCGCCCGGTGCCTCAGGGCGTGGTGCCTGCCCACAGCAGGGACAGTGGCACTGGGCATGTGGGCAATGGTGCTTGGTAATTGTAGCTTCCTTTAGCAACAGCCTCCTGCCACTGGCACAGTTTTGTACCACGAGCCCCACTCAAGGGAGTTGGTTTTCACAGGTGGGTGTGGTTAGGTGTCACCTGGCCTGCTCAGAGACAGCACAGGCTGGGGGGGAGCCAGGGTCAGGTGGGCACCTCCACCAGGCAGCCAGGTCTCAGCTCTCCTCCACCCCAACACAGTGACTTCGAGTAGACACCTCATTTCCCACTGTGCAGGTTGAAGAGGCGTGCGGGGCTATCTCTGAGCCTCGCCTCTCCTCCTGCAAAGTGGACAGCAGCCACGTGCAGAGCCTCAGCTGCAGCCCCGGCTCCTGGGAGACAGACCCCACGGGAACCACATACATCAAGTATTTATGTCAACGTTGTCCTAACACCTGTTCAATTGCAGCATCAGACAAGGTCTCACCAAATCGCCGGGACCCTCCCCTCCATCCCTCTACTTTGTGGCCACATCAGAGTCTCATCAACAAATGCTGTTTACAATGTGTTTTTTTCTCAATACAATGAGCTTATGTGGCAGAAAAGAATCCTCATGATATTCCAAGTATGTCACGATCCTGACTTTCTTTTCTTTTAAAAACCCCAGGAAGCCCTTGTGTGTCACTGAAGGGAATCACTGCTCTCACGCCGCCTCAGGGGTGAGGAGCTGGAGAGCAGACCAGCCTGCACTGTGAGTTGGCACCCTGGTGGTGTTGTGTGAGGACCCGCCCGACACAGGTGCCCCTGCTCGGGAGAAGGACGCCCCTCAGAGCACGCCCAGCAGCGAGCAGCTCAGAGGCCACAGGTGTTCCATCGACGCTGCCCGAGGGGCTCACCTGGGTGTCTGCTCCCGGGAACTGCAGAGAGCAGCTTTCCAGCTGACTTGCTCCCCATCCCGAACACAGCAGAAGTCGCAGGTGCCGACACACTTCACTTCCATGTAGCTTCTTGTAATCGCAAAGTTGTGACTTGCTGGTGTGGAATCTTTAGAGCCCTTCCCACCTGATTACACCCGGCCCAGCAGCTGTCACAGGGACAGGGATGCCTCCTGTTCCTGCAGAAAGGTTTGTCTCTGGCCCCACAGCAGGCGCAATGCTGTCCCGTGTCGGTCCATCTGCTCCCCCCAATCTTGGGCCCCCACTGCAGCCTGGCAGGCAAGCCCTTCCTGTTATGGTGCCAGCCTCTAGGTGTCCCCAGCAGGGCAGCGGGATATCATAGAGATTGTGGGCTTTGGAGCGGGCACAGCACCCATCTTCATAACCTGCCTCTGCTGCTAACTGGCTGTGTACTTGGAAGAGGTACTGAGCTCCCAGGCCTCAGTTTCTTCACATAGAGACTAGAACTGGTTGGCCTCTGCTGTCCTCACTGGGCTTGGTGAGGATGACAGCTAGAGTCAGTCGAGCACCCATGCACAGTGGGCACCTTGTGAGGGTGAGAGAGTGCCCATGTGGGTGCGTAGCTCTGGCACGTGTGCCCAGGCACTCTGACCTACCGTGGTCCCTTCGCCCTTGAAGGTGTTTGCAGGTGATGCTTGTTTGGGGCTTCGCAAAGTGGATGGACTGAAATGTGCTATGCCCGTTCCCCTCAGACCCCATTCCCAGGAGCCTGTCCCTAGCTTCTGTATGCCAAGCTTTCTCTGCAAAGGGAAATTTTCGATCCTTGGCCCATCGGGCATTTGCCCTCCCTCCTAGCACAGCCCTTCTCTGAATGCCACCGAAAGTTCTGCTCAGGGAGGGCAAGACAGCATCAGAAATTCCCTCAAGACTCTGAAGGACTCAGATGCTCTCCACAGGCAAGCCTATAGATCAACACAAGCCTGCTTCCCTAATTTTATTGTCTACTTTGGATTTAAAGTGTAAAAGTCAATACCCATACATTTCCAAGTGATAAACGGAAAGTCCACAGTAAAGACAGCTGGTCTAGTAGGCACAGCAGGGCCCCAGAGAGCAGCAGCGTGTCAGGGTGGGTGAGTGCTGGAACCACGAAGCTTCACGCCGCATGTGTGCATCACCATGGCCGGTTGCAGCTGCTGTGGCAGGCAGTGTGTCATCTCCACACTGGGCTAGCACCAGTCCCTGGTGCCTACAATGCATTGTTTTAAGTGACCAAAGGAGTTGCCCAGCTACCTCAGTAGGAGCCACAACCCGGCCACGCTTCGAGCCTCATCAGAGTGATCAGAGCTGCCGCAGCATGCCCATGGAGCCGCTGGTCCTCCAAAGCCAAGAAAGAAGAAACTTGAACACCAGCAGATGCATAAAGAGTTGGGGGCAACGGGGCTGCTGAGATGGAGCCAGAGGGAATCGAAGCTGATATTTTCTGCTTGGAGCCTACAAGAAATACTTAGAGACAGTGTTTCGGTCAATAATTATTTACAAAGCACCTGCTCTGTGCTAGGCTCTGTCTGTGCCCTTGAGCCATTGGTAAGTGGGCAGCTACAACTCGATGCTGCAGGACACCAGACCGAGGCCTGGGCTCTGGGGACAGTGCCACAGGAAGTGGCAGCCACACTGGTAGCAGGCAGACTGGGAGCTGAGCCGGGGCTGGGGAGCAGGCGCCTGGTCCTGGAGGTCAAATGGAGCTGGGGGTTGGGAAACGTGGAGCTGTTGGGTGCTCTGAGGGCCTTGAGGTGGGAGGTGGGGAGAAGGCCGAGGGGAAAGGGGGCTGGAGAGGTGACGAAGGGCCAGGCCGTGCAGGCCTGGGGTGCTGTGCAGGCCTGGGGTGCCGTGCAGGCCTGGGGTGCCGTGCAGGCCTGGGTGCCGTGTGAGGGAGGTAAGTGGTTCCCCTGGGGGAGCGGGAAGCGTTGAAGGGTCTGGAGCAGACGAGCTGCTCCGGTGAGATGGGAGGAAGCGAGCAGGCTTGAGAGCTGTTCCACGGGCCTACAAGTCGGGGACAGCCGAGCCCCGCAAAGGACGCACTGGCTCTCGGGCAACCCCCAGGCCTCGGTTTCCTCACCTGTGTAGTGAGAAAGTGGGACAGATGGTGTCAAAGATCCAAAGATCTCTTCCAGCCCCAACAGTGTGGAAGTTCTCTCTCCTGCGTGTCCTTGTCCTCCATCGCCAGCTCCCCTCAATCTGTCCTGGCAGCGGCCCTGCTCCCAGCCCCTTCTCCCCTCCGCTGGGCACCTGCAGCTCTAGAAACTGCAGCCATTCTGGCTTCCTGTGGCCGTGCTCTGGCCCTTGGTCAGAAGGAGCAGACGCCTCCTGGAGTCCACTGTAGTCTAATGACTTGAAACAACTAAAAGCCAGACAAACCTATCAGATGGACTTAGCCTGCGAATGCTGTGTAACTCTGTAGCATTTCCTGTTCCGCAAGGCACGTTCGCCTGCTGCACACTTGCGGGTGTGGGGAGGGCAGGACGTGGACAGGTTACGGGTGGAAGGTGACGCATCTGCTCCCACATCTCTCCCAGGGGTGGGGAGGCTGCCCTTCCCGCCACGGTGCTCCCATCGCTGGGCTGCAAGCCAGTGCGCCAGCAGGATTTTCTGCTTATGCTGCAGGTGTGGCCGCAGAGATCTCTGCACTTTTTTTAATAGACTTTATTTTATTTTTTTTTTTTATTTTATTTTTTTTTGTCTTTTTGTCTTTTTTCCGTGTCCGGCAACGGATCGCAACCCTCAGTGTTGCCCCCGTACCGGACCGGGGACCGGCAACGGGATTGCAAGCCTCGGCGTTGCTCCCGTGCCTCGCTCAGCCAGTGAGCGGGAGCCGGTCTGTATGTGGGATCCGAACCCTCGGACGGGAGCGCCGCCGCGCTTCCCAAGCGGCGCACTATCCAGTGCGCCACCGGGCCGGCCCAAGACTTTATTTTTTAGAGAAGTTTAATTTTACCGAAAGATTGCTGAGAAAGTAGAGTTCCCGTACACCCCCTCTTTGTACTTACACACGCACGCACACTCAGGCACTTCTATTATTAACGTCTTGCATTAGTGTGGCATCTCCCACTCTGATTGTGCCATTTCCAATTTGCCACTGAGACTCCCTCTAAGCCCCTGTGGGCTAACCAGGCACAGCCCATGGGAAAGCAGCCTGCCCTGGTACCATGCAGCTCCCAGTCCCAATTCTGTCCTTGGGGATGACAAGAGAAATGTGAGCAGACGCTGGCTCTGTGGAAAGCCATCTGCGGACCCCCCCACCCACCACCCCAGCTGCCGGAGGAGCAGGGCTGTGTGGAGAATGAGGTTAGCCCGGCACAGCGTGCTCCTGCCACTACCATCTCACAGCGCTTTGATCAACCTCCACATCAGCGTCTGAGGGCTGACAAGCCACGTGTTTAATAACTGATCCAGATGCTTGTCTAACATCAGCACTGAATACAAGTCCGTAGGTCACAGGTCTGCCTTCTACTCCATTCTTGTCAGACTCTGTCTCAGACGAGCTCCCCCGGTCTCTCAGGAGCATTCAGGCCTCCCAAGTCCCTCATGGGCCATCCATGAAATGGGGAGAATATCACTCAATTTGCAGGTTTGTGGTGAGGAGTAAATAAGCCAGCAAACGTAAGATGACTAATACAGGGCCTAGTACAAATAAATGTTCAAAAAATGGATAGTTGTCATTCTTAAGGGAAGTCAAGAATTGAATATTTTCAGCAAGATTGTAAAGTCTAAATCACAGTGACATTCAGTGTCTGCTCTATGTCTGTCACATCACCCATTTCTGCTACCTGGCCAAGTGACTCTTCCCAAATTCTGCACCATTCCTGCCCTGCCCCTCTCCTGTTATCCACATGTAAATGCTCCTGAGGTCATTTTGTCCTCAAAGCCACAAGATTACACACAAGTATGTATCTT